TCAAGAATATTATTAACATGTGACGATTAATGATAACACAACACGCATTGCCTTAGCCTTACACCAATTTATTTACATCGCAATAATTATCTGTTTGATTTCTGTCCATTAGTCCAAATACGCTCTCCGAGAACAGTTTTCAACTTTTAGCATGTTTCCCCGTACCTTCATGAGATTTTTGTAAAAAGCTAAATTATTTGACCTTTATGTAGCAAAATAAAATAAATTTGAGGAATATTTGCCATTAATTTACACGTTTAATTTAGTTACAGTGAAAAGTAACTTTTAGTTAAAACGTACTAAGAAGTACACATTTATTAATGCTTGTCTATTAAACCTTAGATATATATCAATAACTATGTCTATGTGGAACTAGCTGTTTTGTCAGCACAATAACATCTTAAAACAGCTTCACATCAATTTGATTGACATATAATGCATTTTATTACGTCGTTAATTTCTTTAATTAAATCTAAATGCAGTTATTCACGTTTGATTCATTGGAGATAGATAATGTCATCTTAAATCTAAAGTTTTGCATTTTGAATGTATACACTTTATAAGAGCTGTGGTATTTGTATTCATATAACACTTTAGTAGTTTCAAAATGAATTGAAAGAAAAGAAATATGAAAGATTTCCCCGTTAAATATCTTTGTTTTGTTTACTTTGTATAATGAAAATTGATAGTATCGTTTACCAATTCATAAATTCTTCTCAAAACAGTGTACAATATCTGTAATAAAGCATAGCATATCACTTTAGGTCCTTTGAAACAACACTATAAAAGCATTTTTTACTTACTGTATTGCTGTGAAAACCTGACTTATTTAACAAAATATGATACTTCACCGTGAAGAAAAATTTACAATAACAAAAGCTCATTACCATTTCTCTAAGGCAGTGAGTAATTAACAAAAAAACGACATAAATTCCAAAGAGAAAGATAATATTAAGTCATTAAAACAGCTACTATTTTTATCACACTTAAAGGTCTCATTAAAAGCGATTACTCTGATGTTTCTTCTTAGACAAAATAAGAAGAAGAAGAAGAAGAAGAAGAAGAAGAAGAAGAACGTTTATTTCACTTAAACTACAAGTTTCTCGTGATTAACATATATACAAGCATACATATATAATGACATGAAAAATACAATGACATGAAAGTAAACATAATAATTATATTGGATGGACGAAACAAAATAGAGATGACACTAATATTAAAGCATAATGGCTATTACATACACAGTAGTATACACAATAAAACTTTTCATTAGTTTGGATCTGTTAGGTATACATAAAAGTAGGTTGAAATACATATCTAAGCATTAATAATCTGATATCGTAATTTGAAAGCTTCATTGACAGAGCATAATTGTTTCTTTATTTTTATCACTTTTTAATAATTGGGTAAACTTAAACATACTTGGTCTATTTCTATAATAATTCTTAATATATATTTTTCTTAAATTTTCATATGCAGGACACTTAAACACAAAATGGAACTCGTCCTCAATTTCATTTGTATTGCAAATTAAACAATATCTTAAATTTCGCTCTACTCTTTCACGTGAATATCTACCTGTCTGGATTCTAAGATTATGAGCTGAAATACGCAGTTTTGTCAAAGCTATTCTTAGTTTTCTTGATACAATATTTTCTAAATAAGGTGACATTTCAAAACTGTCCTTTACTGATTTATATAAAAATAATACATCATTACAATTAATACTAGCTCTCCATTCTTGTAAATATTCATCTATTAATCTCTGTTTAAAAACGACAATAAAACAATTTTGATTAACGCTTAAAGGGTTTAACCATACATCAAAAAAACCCTATTTTTCTAAAAGACTTCGTACATTTGCAAACCAGTTTGTATACCCTATATTTATATCAGACATACACGAATTAACAATTGTAGTTATAATAATATTACTTGAACTTATTATCTTAAACCAAAATTTTACAATTCGAACATATCTGTTTATATACAACGGATATCTTCCAAGTTCACCATACACAGCTGCGTTACTAGTAGATTTTCTAACACCAAGAATAGTTTTACAAAATTTCAAATGAATATTTTATAACTTTTTTGATTTGTGAAAACCCCATACTTCACTTGCATACATTAAAATAGAACCAATAAAAGAGTCGAACAACTGTAGGGCTATTTTTGGTTTTTGTTTCATATTTTTTCAAATTTGCCACTAAATTATTTTAGGGCTTTTAAACTTTTACCATATAAAGTTTGAGTATTTAAGTTAAAATTTCCTGTATAATTCAATGTAACACCTAGATAATTTAAAATCATTTACAATTTCTATATTATCTTGACCATAAAACCATTTTTCTCCTGCTCTTAAACCACCTCTCTTACGAAAAAACTACGATTTTGGTTTTGTTTACATTAACTTCTAATCCCCATTTATTGCAGTATTCATGAAGCTTATTTAATGAATTTTGAAGATCTAGAGGATTTTCATCAATTTATACCATATCATCAGCAAACAAAAGTAAAATTAGGCAAATGTCTTGAAGATCTATACCAGAATTTAAGTTATTTTGCAAATAAAGTTCTAGATCTTCAATAAACAAGGAAAACATAACTGGGGAAATTATCTCCCTTTGAATAAGTAAAGGTTGAATAAAGTTATCATCATATTGTGATTTGTTCTGTATGATCATTTTTTAAGAATTCCGTCGATTATACATTTATTATTGAGTTACCTGGTCATTATTCTATTTTTTATCTTAATTATCTACAATAGCCACTCATGGTATATTTACAAATGACTCTGACAATGTCTCTGAAGACATCAAAGGAAATCAAGCAATCAAACATATTTTGTACTTTTACCGTACTGAATTTATTAGTCTCAACAGCCTAAACAATTGGGTTGCATATGTTAAAATTTTACTTATGAGAAATGGATTTTTGTGCAAATTTGGTTTGATCAAAAGTTTTTGACCATTACACTTTTGGATCAGTGTCTTGTGATGTGAGAAATAGTTATAAACTTTATAGTATGTTGATTATAAGTTATTTTTTTAACATGAAATATATTTGGATTATATAACAGTTAAAAACTTAAGAAATGCACTGTGCAAGCTTAGGACTACTTTACATGACTGAAAAAATAGAAAGAGGGGGGTATTCTTACTCTGAAAGAAATGAAAAATAATATGTAAACGTTGTAATACTGAGATTGACACTCAATTTCATTTTGTTTTAAAATGTCACAGATTCACCTCCTTTAGAGAGAAACATATTCCATACAAGTTCTATCAGACCGACCCCTTATATTAATAAGGTGAATATTTTGATGTTATTTATATATGAAGATATAGTTATGAATTGGCTGTATTTGCATATTGCGGTTTCAGGAACGTAAAAAGCTACTTAATGACATTGTTTTAACGTGTTATAAGGTATGAATCAACATATATTTAGATGGTATATACCATACATATATTTTAAAATAGTTTTATTTATGTCACTTTATATACATTTATACTAGTAATTTGTAGTAAATTGGTATTTGATCTGTATAGTACACTGGCACTACATCATGTAATGTTGTTAAGTATATGTTTTGTTGATATGGGCCGGAGGCCAACATCGAATTGGGCTTTTGCCATTGTCATTGTAAAGATGAAAGTTTGTCCATTGATCACAAAAAACGTAACTGATTACCAAATTATAATTACACTGCTCACGGAATTTACGCCTCAATATTCATGGACTTTATGCCTTAACATTCACGGAATTTTTGCCGTAATGTTTCGGGATGATTTATGTCTCAATTCATAAAATGTGCCAAATGTTTCACTGATCAAAAATATGTACCTCATTGATTACAGAATGTTTGTAACATGGATAACAGAGTACGTGTCTCATCGATTAAAGAATATAGGCAACACCGGTTATAGAATGTATTCCTCAAATACCACAGAATGTTTGCCGCAAATATGACGAAAGGTTTGCAACAACTATCACAGAATGTATTCTTCAATTATGATCACAGAAGGTTTGCCGTAATGGTCACAGAATGTATTCCTCAATTATCACAGAATGTTTGCCGCAATTATCACGGAAGATTTGCCTCAATTATCACATAATGTATGCCTAAATTATCACATAATGTGCAAAGATGTATGTAAATTATACGCATCAATGACAATATATTTCATGCCATAATACAGCTAACAATGTACAGAGAAAAATGAAAAAAAATGAAAAAGAAAACAAATGTGTGCGGATATATTCTTTCAAACAGTATCCAGTACCACAGGAATATGAACAAAATGCAGAAATAGCACCATAGTAATCTAACCTTTTGTAATTATATTGGCAGAAATGATCACCAAGGTATAATATGGTTTTATTGCCCTGTCAATTATAAATACATTATAGCATTTATTTACATATTCCATCCCACTGCGGTTGTGTCCGTGTAGTTTACAAGAATTATTATGGAGTAAATGCCTTATTTCTTTTTGAAAAGTCACACCAGCTTAGGGTATAGGGCGTCGTCACATCCGCAATAGCGCATTCGGTTTAGTGATTGCCTAATATTTAGGAGGTCTGTGTTTTGACCCCAATTGTTCCCTTCTCTTTTGTTTTTGCAACAATATTTTAACGGAAATATTGGCTGCCAATTAGTCTACACGGATATGAAGCAACTTAAAAACACTGTTTTGTCTCGAATTGTATTGTGAATCCGAATGATTTTTTAAATATTACTTCTTAAACAATGTTATTTCAAAAGAGTATATATAGACTTCAAAACATAATAATTATTAATACGAGCAATTCGTACAAAACAAACAACATTAAAACAGTCATAGTCTAAATAATGTTGAAAAAAAGAGAGAAAAAAAGAAATAAAATGAACATTCGCGGTCTCGATCTTACTACACGTAGAACATTTATATATTATAAACCGTATAATCAGTATGCAAATGACAGGTTAGGTTAATAAAATCAAATAATAATTAAATAAATCACTATATTTTAGAATAAATTAATTGAAAATATTATGCGCATACGGTTGCTTAAAAATAATTTGTAAAACATAATGTAACATATTTCCAAGATCATTCGTGAGGATGACGACCTGGTTAGCGTATTGAAGGCGATTTGTGTGTTGCTAATTTTGATGTGTCATATAACACCTCAATTGCACAGGGGATCAACTTTATATAGTTCATCAAAACTTGTAAGTCGTTAAAAAGATATGTTTGTTTTTGGTTAAATGATATATGATACCAATTATAAACAGTAAGTTTTTTAGGGGTTTTGTTAATTTGGGATGTTAAATATAAGCTTTATTAAAACCAATCAAAATGCTATGCAACCCTTTTATTGTTCAGTTATCCATTTATCAATTGTCGTTTGATGCGGACTGTTTTCAAAAAGAATGTTGTCGTGGGTTTATGTGTGTCAATCATTCAACGTGAGTATATGACTGACAATAAGATCAAAATAATATACAATTAATCAACCTTTGTCTGTGATGACGAGAAATATTCACAGAATTGAGAAAAATGGAACCCCTTAATGGAACACTCAAAAACTAAAAAATTGAACATGTTGCGGATCATAGACGGTACTGGAAAGTGCAAGTTGTCGTCCAAGCCCTTGCTCGATCAAACGGATGTAGTCTTGACATTTAGCGAGGTAAATATCCTGCATCTTTTCACATAGATGATTAAAACGATTGGAAAAAGAAGATAAGAATATATGACAGACTGCTTTTTAACAAGAAGATTCTTATCATTTTACATATAATAAGTTTAATCCTTTATATATCTACCATAGAAAGCGACCGACGTTTCCATACAGTACACTTAGACTTCATTCCAGTTATGATTTATTATTTAAAGAGTTAGATTGAAAGGGACATTATAAGTATTTCAATCAAAACTAAAAAGTTTGTCTGCAAGGTTTTAAATTATGTTCAAATACATGATAATGTGTGTGTCACTGCATATCATTCAAAGCATATCTTGGCATACAAATTATATTCCATGTCAATAATTCCAAAATGTAAAGTAATATTAACATTAATTGCATATGAAAAACAACATTTTCAAAACAAAATAATTTTAAATCAATAGATTTATTTATTTATACACAGACATCGAAAAGTTGAACATGTCAAGGTTACGTATTTGTTCTTTCTTAAAAAACTTGTTAATCACCAAAGTATTTATTTTTTGTATTTAGCGAAGAATTATAGCGTATTTTATGTTTGCTTATAGAACACATATCCAAAACTTGATCACAATCTGAATTTTGGCCAAGTTACTTTCTTTTGATTTCCATTTTAAATAATTACTTGTCAACAGTGTGTGATTGTTAATAGTACTTTTAGCCTCTCTTTTATCATGTTCTTGATCAATATGTTAGATGTTTGATATAACTGAACCAACGACAACAAACATTTCACAAAAGACTGCTTCAAATGACAATACATGACTTAGCTACTATCAAGGAACTACGTGCGGGTCGAATAGCATTTCGATTTATTTTCAGTTATACATATGTACTTCATATTTACAAAAATAATTCAAAATTTTAAAACCTACTGTTCATTTTCTTGACATGGCGTCCGCATATGTTTTTCCGGAAACCAACGTACATAACTGATGCATATTTCGGTGTACTGTATGAATGTGGTCCTATATGAATTAGCAGATGAACTGTGACTAAGACATTTTTTTGGAGTTTAACCAAATTCGTGAATGATACATCAAAGTTTTGCTGATTAGCCCATTAATAGTACCTGAATCATAATTTATCTGATTTCTTTTAGTATTATACGACACTGGTATATTAGCAAATATCTAAGGTTATTGGAATATCAAAAATATTGAGCGTTTAAATGCGTTATTGTACTACAGTAGGGTGAACGTTTCAGTTGTCAAAAATAGTGTTTTTTGTGCGTGCGTTTTTCGTATATCGTGCGTGCGTATATCGTGCAACGAGGGTTTGTTGAAACACTTTCTAAAGCGTGCATAGTTTACCGTTTAGTTTGTTTACCGTGCGTTTGAAAGTGTGCATTTGTTATTCCCAGTGCTAAACGTTTTGCGTGCGTCTGCGTTCGTCTAAACGTTTAAGTACCGTGTTTTTCTTCTGTTACTATTGAGAAGTAAGAGAATATCTTAGATAGATATATTTTGTAAATTTCGGGTTTCTTTAACGTGTAAAAGATGTTCAGTGTCCCTATCAAAGAATAGAAATATTCTATAAAGAAATATTAGTGTGATCTTTACATTAAAATTTTAAAGTTTGTGACCTCGTGGTGAATATCAGATTTCTACGTGCTTTACGCCGAAGATTAGTTTTAATCTTATTTTACATACGCTTAAGATTTAATTACTATTTAATTTTTGATATTCAATTCAGCAAACAGGTGTTTATATGCGTAACAATATATCCGATATGACGTTCGTCAGACATCATATGTGATGGTAATTAGACTAGCACAGCCCCCCCCCCCCCCCCCTCTTACCACTTCATATTCTGACGTTTCATCAAAGACTGTCCGAATCCTATTTATGGTGATATTTTTTTTTAGACAGTTCCTTCCCATTTTTCTTAACAGATTTATATTGATATGTAACAGCATGGCAGGGACTCGAACCCCTGAAACTCGGAATACCATTCCGCGGCTCTTCCCTATGAGCTATTCGGCTGCTTATACATTTTATGTGTTTAAATACAGAATAGTTGTAAACCTACTGTATATGCAAGTCACAGGGTGATAATGTAAGTCCCAGGGTGAGAAAAATGTGGACTCGAACCCGTGACCCTCAGAATACCGTTACGCGGCTGTACCGACTGAGCTGTCCGGCCGCTTACACATTGTATGTGCTTAATAGTGACCACCTCTAAATCGTGACAAATACGGCTGAATAGTTAAAAAAAACAGGTAAATAAATTCTAAATTAATACAATTTGAAAAAAAAACACACACACACACACACACACTCTTGACAAAAATTACAATAAAATATATTACGAGTTTTATAATTATTGTTTACTAAAATGGAATGAGACATTTATTGATAGTTGTACTATTTCTTTATTTTTGTACAAATAAAAATAGCTAACCTTTTTTTCCTAGATAAGAAAATTCTATGGTGGCTAATATGTACCATGTCGTACTTTTTCTTCCCTAGGCACAAGACGAAAACTTGAAAACTTGAAATTACGACTAAGAAGTTTTGTTCTATTTTTGTCCGGCGCTCATGGCATTTTGTCGTTTTTCCAGGTCTTTGTAAAAATAACGATATACATGTATATAACAAAAAAATATATTTTAATCTGGTCCGATACATCCCATACATAAGTATAAAGTGTCTAAAAGATTGGTCCGAAGTGTCCAATGTATGGGCCAAAGTGTCCAAATATCTGGTTCGAAATGTCCAATAATCTGTTCCGGAGTGTCCCAAAATTTGGTTTTACGTGTCTGATAGGAAATGTCCATTGTCCGGAATGTCCCATTACCAACTCAGCCACCATAAAATTTAGTCCACAAATTTATTCAAGAGTGCAAGCAAACACCCACTCTATCAGGAGTCTGTAGTGGAATTGACTCAGTCTGAGAACTGGATGTTGAAACCAGTATATAAATTTGTAAGAACAGGTTAATTGGTACCCATTTTGCATACTAATATCCCTTGCGACTTGTACAATTTCAATTGATTGTATAAATTTTCCTACAATATCAATTTCATGCTTCATAGGTAGGTCAATTCATTAAAAAGGGAATAATACGAGATCTCTATGAAAAGAAATGTAATTGATAACTCAATCAAAATAAACTTTATTAATTAAAAGCTTTAATTAGATGACTTAAAAAAGAAGATTCCAATAATTCTCCATTTAAATTCCAAATGTTATAGAAAATTCCATTTGGACCCCAACTATTAAAGAAAGCGCATAAAATGTCGATACACCGGGTATTTCACCTTAAACCTAACCTCTTAGGAAATGATACAGAGTTTTTCATATAACATAAATCTATTATATTAATTAACAAACATATTCAATTGACTAAAATAAGGGAGTCCTAGCAAATTTTATTACAAAATATAAGAATTATGGCATATCCCCTAAGATGCCTTACTGTCCAAGATAATACACTAAATCACTACAAAATATGAAAATTTTACCTTATTATAATAGATTTGGAAGTTAAACAAAGCTATAAGTGCAACATAAATCTACGACATGTAAATTAACTAACAAACATATCTAATTGACAAAACTAAGGAAGTTCCACCAAATTTCATTACAAAATATAAGAATTATGGCAAATTTCCTAAGATGCCTAACTGTCTTAAAATAGTACACATTCTCTACAAAATGGGGAATTTGACCGTATTATAAAAGCCTAGGAAATGAAACAGAGTTATAAGTGCAAGATAAATCTATTATATTAATTAACAAACATACATGTATCTAATTGATAAAAATAAGAATATCTTAATAAATTTAATTGAATATTAAAAAAATATGGCTAATTTCCTATGATGTATAACTATACAAGCTAACACACTAATTCATTAAAAATGGGGGATAATTTTACCTGATTATAACCTCGTGGTAAATAAATCAAAGTTAGTAAAGCAACATAGTATTATAATATTAAGTAATACCTAAATCAAATTGACTTATATAAGAACAAATTTCATTGAAAATTTAAGAAATTATGGCTTATTTTCTATGATGCCTTATTAATAACTTCACCACACTAAATCATTGAAAACTGGGGTAAGTTTACCTAGTTTAAAGCTTCTGGTCACTGAAACAAAGTTAGTAAAGCCACATAATGTTATACTATCAAGTAACTAATACATCTAATTGGCTTAAATAAGAAAGCCCAGTTGAATTATATTGACTATGAAGTTAAGGTAAACTTTCTATCAAGCAAATACATTAAATCTTTAAAAAATGGGATAATTTTACCTTATTATAACCTCCTAGGAAATGAAACCAAGTTAGTAAGGCAACATATTACTATAATATTGAGTAACAATTACATCTGTTTGATTATTATGAAATAAATCCACCAAATTTCATTGAATAATAAAAAGGTATGGCAAATTTCCTATGATGCCCAAAACCAGGACAGACAGAGGTGTGCAGATCCACTATCAGCCTTCCCTGTCCCTGCACTTATAATACAATAGTTTATTTGGAGTAGAGATCCATTACTGGCATGGTATATGGAATCACAAAAATATACCGTAAAAATGATTTATTCAATTCTTTATAGTAAAGTCACAGCTTAGAACTGTTCATTATTGAGGGAAGAAGATGTGCAAGCGGACTGATAGCTTAGTCGGTAGTCAGCTGCGGGACAGTATTCCAGGGGTCCCTGGCTTACGTCCCAGTCAGGCTGCATATTTTTCTCACCTTTTGACATTTGACTCCCAACGATAAGTAATAAAACAATGAGAAATTGGTCTTTAAGTTTCATACCATCACCTATTCCAAAGGGGACAGTGATGGATGGTATAAAACTTTAAAAAAGTCCTATTTCACATTGTTCACTGTACCCATTCAAGAACGAATTTCAATAATAGAATACAGGCTAATACAATATAGTTCAGTCGGTTGAGCGGCAGAATTGAGGTTCAAGTCCTGGTAAGACAGCGCCTTTTTTAAAACTTGTGACAGTAACAAAAAAGGAAGGTATTAGGCATTTAATGTTGCATATTAAATGCATATAATGTCAACAAATTTCAATTTCAACTGCTATGAAAGATATTTTATGATGCGCCGCTCTTTTGGTAAATCAATATACTTTATAGTTTACACATGATTCAAAAATTATTGGAGTCCCACACTCCTCCCCTCCTAGCTGGCACTTATGGAGGTGCATGAAGTTGACAGGTTTCTTCATTTTCCTCATTTTTTTCTCACTTACAGTTTCGGGCCCAAAATGAAAGTTTAATTATTCTTAATATTTTACAATTATTCATTAAATTTCATAAGGCTTGTGGGGACACATCACCGATGTAATTGTTACCTAGTATCAGTTACACACTTATAAATTAAAGGTTCTTAATAATAAACCAGTGTTTATAATAATTAAAATAATATAGCTTTATTCATTTTTTTTCACACTTCTAATTGTTCTTACCTGTTATATAAAAAAACATATTTTAATCAATGTCTTTTAATGGTATTTTTTTTTTTTTTGATAACAAAAAGAATGAATAAATATATACATGTAGATTTATAGCTGATAATTCTTTCAGAACTCATATAAAATATCATATCAGTTATTATTTTCCCAGGGAAATTTCATTATATTTATCACCAAAAAATCTTCTTTATATCAATCATGAATACAATTGTTTGCAAGTATGTGTTATATAATATTATAACCCATAATACATGGTATTTATTTAATATATTTATCAAATTTAAAAAAAGGTGACGAAAAGACCGTGGTTTTAAGGCCGAAACGTTCATGGCCTAAACGTCCAGGAGGTGTAAAGTCCTAAAACATATAGCTTGAAAATATGTTGGGCTGCCGGTCTGCAAAGTATGTTTTCCTTTTGTTTACAAATGTCATATTAATTTCGTTCGCTTCTATGTAAATGACTTGATAGTTTGATCGCTAATTTGCTAAAGTTTCTACCATATCCGTTTTATTTTGTTTACGCCAGAAGCGGTATCGACGTAATTAACGTCTATCTAAGAGATTTCTGGGCTAAAGCAAATTATTTTTTTCAGAAATGTGCATAAAGACGAACCCGTTCAGTTATTTTTTGATATAAGCGCATGATAGTTTATAATGTCAAAAATCATTTGTTGAGGCTGCGCGACAAAGATAATGTTGTGCCAGGTTGAGTGCATTATAGCTCTAACACAGACCCGTTTGAAATACATGATTGCGTAGCTATCATCTGCGTATTTCGTTTCGTAAAGCTTGCGTGTTACGATCGTTCGTATAGCGTCTAACGTGCGTGCGTTTTTTCCGGAGCGTGCGTTTTGCGTGTAAGCTTAAACGTTCATCCTCCTGTAATATATATCGGTGAAACAAAAAGGTCGCTTTTACAACGGTAGCCAGGCAGTCATTTCACGAATGATCTCAGAAAGTTAACATATTCCTTCAAATAGTTGTTATGCTGATTAAAGTATAATGTCATAGCAGCTTTTTGAACTTATTCATTTCTTTTAATTAAATTCACTCAAATATTTTCGTCCGTATACTCATTGTGTTTCTTGTTTCGGAAATAGCTTTTCACAGATTGAGGCGTTCCTTTGCGTGATTTCTGCGAAAGTTTCACATTCCTGCTTTACTCGATTTACACGGTGGAATAGATAGAAAAAGGAAAGTAAAATGTTACAAAATGGTACCTAACGAACTTTCACTGAAAATGCTTTAGTTAAATGATGGACGTAAACACATAAAAATCATACACAATAAGTCCAATGAAATCAAAAATTGTAAGAGACAGGGCAAGTTTGATAAAATGGAAACCAGAGCCGGGGCATTCCTTGCTAAAGTTGCAGAAGTTTCCCCACATATATATCGCTCCTGAAATTTGAGTAAAAGTAAAAACATTATTGCGTAAAACACCAAATTTGAAAGCTTTCTTGTCTCTTAATAAACAATAATGTTTCATTCTTGTTGTTTCTATAATAATTTTTGGAATAAAATAAAATTTAATTTCAGTTACCATCTTTTATGGCCATCGCTTAAATAATTATAGAAGCTATTCTTATACGTTTGCTAATACCTTAATCGTTCCAACTTTGTCATTTTGATTAAATTGATAATTTTGAGCATTCCCCAAAACATAAAACAAATGACTTATTTTACGTACCAACAAATAACCAGGTTATATATATATGTATAAAAGTGTAATTTGGTAGTTTTTTAGTTTTCCGTCTGAAGATCCATACAATATGTGCTCCCCAGAAAACGGCATCAACGCACATCCTAATAAACAAGAATACTGCAGCTTCATGTTCAAGACCACAGTTTGATGACAACTTCGCTGCCCCTTTTATGATAAGCAAGAACAAATTTACTTAGATACATTGAATGTGAGTATTAAAATAATTCATATTGAAAATAGTGTTTTAAAATTATATATGTATTCAACAAGCAGATATAATTGAATATTTATTGAATTTATATATTAATTATTCGCTACATTTGCAATCAATGGTTATATTATTTTAGCTTTCAATGTCTCCTTATTCTTGAAGAAATGATATCAGATATTTTCATTTGCTCATTTTTCACAGTGACATTTTAAACATAACTAAAGCATAATCAATAAGTACCTGCAACGAATAGACTGGAGGTAACAAATTCGCATATGAATATAGATAAGCAGTACCCTGAAATATATTATTAAAACAAATACACTTATAAGACTGTTTAAGAAAATAATCGTTTTTTTTTTAAATACATGTACATCAAAATAGCCAAAACAGGCAATCATGATTAAGACCAACAATGGCATGTTGAAATTATTGCAGACCCAGTTTCAATTAAACTCTTTATTGACGACAGTGGCTAATGCAGACTGAAATCAACACTCTTCTTGACACACTTCTTGTTTAAGTATACTTCAACATTTTTATATGGAAATTACAGAAGATTGAATGAAAAAGAGATATTTTCTTATGGCGGTGATCATAGACCGTTTTATGTGACACTTCCATGAAAGGGAAGGTGTATGGACCTGTTGTTCATCAATGCGCGGATAACACAATTGAATAAAATGAAATTATGGATGTGAACCCTGAGTTTCACAGGCAGCTGCCAAAAGCAGGGAGCAATTCATATCTATGATTTAACAATATAAATGAAGGAATATTGAAACTACCTGTAATAAAGTATTTCTGTAAATTGAAATAACACTCTACAGCAATGGGAACAAAATTAAATTAGTGAAAAGTGCAGAGACGTTACTATTGCAGAACATGAAAAGTGCAACGCCTCTTCTGTCCTCTAGCTTCAGCTTAAGCAGTGTCGTCACAAATACTAATGGAAATTCAATTAAAAAATAAAATTCATGACGAGTAATTGTATTATTTCTTGTAAATATGTTAAAGGTGTATGATGACTTGCTCATTAAAGCCGACATTAAGGGAGTATTAGCTTATCTTTTGTTTGGTATACCTTATTATTTGGCAATGCATTACAAACTCTTTTTTTTAAAAAAAATGGCTGTTGGTGTTAAATCATTCGTCCCTATTTCACAAGTTTTACTAGCCTTTATTAAATGAAGAATGTTACAGTGAAAGACGATGAATGCTTCCACTCCCTGCACATTAATAACAATGTAGTCAATGCACATAAGGCAATAAAGACTCAAAAGTTTATTTTTAATCAATAGTGATGTAGACCTAAGTTATCCCGTCTAACATTACGTTAAAGGAAAACCGAAGGTACCTGCCTACCATATTTGCAATAGAGAAAACATAATCCGTTAAAAACACAAACACGGCACAATTGAAATTGTTGCAGGCTCGGATTGATTGAGTCTGTTCAAGGACGGTACTGGAAAGTGCAAGTTACCGTTTGCAACCACTAGCACCGGCTAAAGCAACATTTAAACACAAAATGGCATCAGTCAAAAAATTAAGAATGCATGAGCAAAATCTTAAAAGTCTTGTAACCTAGATCAATAGAATGATACTGCATCATCGAACACCTGATTAATGCTCCCAGTCAGACATTTTATTTTTAAAAAATCCGTCGACTCGAATGTAAAATACGATCTTATTATCAGTGTTAGATATAATGCGTATTATTTTTAGACCGTTGGACGTGTTATAGATTTTGGCGCTATTTTGGAACAAAGCATTTTACTGCGACGTGACGTTGGCGTCACTTTTTATGTTTTGTAAATTTGAAATCAGAGTTGAAAATACAGTCATTGAAATCAGACGTTCATTCAGTTGTTATGTCATTCAGACATTTTGGTCTTGCGAAACGGATACACATATTGTGAAAATAAACAAAATACATCAGAGAAAAAAGAAATCTTACACAAATCAATTTGTCAAAACTACGAGCGCTAATAAAAGCATCACAACACTTATTTCAAAATTTGACTAACTCACTAACGGATTATCAACGATGTTCATGATCAACTTTTAGATGTACTTTCGATGGTCAATAATGGCAAGACGGAGGAGGAGGCGATCATACAGCACGATTATAGTTACATTTTGCAGTCAACAATTAACCAATTAACAAGATCAAGAAAAATTTAAAAGTAAAAACTTCTAACTTAAATTCAACATCACAACCTTTCGAACACACAAGTTACGGTCTGGACAATTTTAGTACAAATACACCCTTATATGGTATAATTCAAACACATCCGCACGCTGACAGAGGAAATATTGCTGCCATGTCTTACCATCAGGTCTGAATTCCGACTCAATATTTTCTGTAAACAGTTCGGTGTTTCACAAATTACCGAAGTAAGACCTTCCCGTTTTCTCCGGAAACAGTCTGGAATTGCATGTATTCTGGGAATCGAATGAATCGGCAAACATTCAAATCAATCACTCTCGGAGATTTATTTATTTGAAATCACTACTTAGAGGAGAATCCCTTAAGGCAGTTACAGGTTTTAGCCGTACCAATACAAATTTCCAGAAAGCAGTCTAACTTTTGCACGAGAGGTACAGGCAACGTGAAAAAAATATTCAAATTTATATGAAAGCCCTACTTGATGTTCCCGCCCCCCTTGAAATCATTTTCATCTCTACGCGACTTCTATTATGCAACAGAATCTTTTATCAGAGGTCTTGATTCATTGGGAAAAATGAAGATACTTACGACTCTTTAAAGGTACCAGTGATGCAGAATAAACTTCCCGACGAGATAAAAAAAAAGAACATGGTACGTGAACATAGCTCTTCCAATTGTTGATTAAGTGATTTTAGAAAGCTTTTGCTGAAAGAATTAACCATCATTGAGGCCGGAAATGAAAGTCCAACAAGTAATTCAATTACAGATGAATTACAAACCCCTATGAATTATCCAGCTACTGCGGCATTTATTACGAAATACAAGCAAAATAATCACCGTGGTATAAAGTCACCGAGGTAGTGCATATTCTGCAAAAACTCTCAACCCAGTGCAACCAGTGTCACAGTGAAAACATGTTCAGACAGAATCGACATTGTAAGACGTGATAAATTGTTTTTTTAATAGTTTTGGAAAACATAGAGTCCCTGACTGCGAATCCAAATTAAGCTGTAAGCATTGTTCACGACGTCATCATACAAGCGCTGGAATTAATCTGTAAGGGAACAATTTCCTGAACAGAAGACAGTAAACACCAGTGAAAACAAGAAAGCAGAAAAAGCATAAAAAGAATGATGCGTCAATATTACACTGCGCAAACACACAAACAGTTAAACCTTTACTTCTCTAGACACCTACAGCCAGCGTACAGTCAAACCCCACAAGCTGTGACGTAAAATTACTTTTTGACGAAGGAGCTCAACGGTCATTCATCACAGAACATTTACCCCAGATATTAAGATTGTACCCACATGAACAGAGTCTCACTATTTATCTGGATTTGGAGTAGCTTAAGGTCTTCAGCGTACCCGTTTATATACTATGACATGACGTGAACGCTGAAGACAACCCTGTAGGGAAAGTCCACCAATAATCGTGCCAGGAATCTGACACGCTCGTTTCATTCATCGAACATGTCATGAAGTAAAGTGAAGCATACCTTGATAAAACTATATATAATCTGTTAATAAGCCAAGGATGGACAAATAAAAATCTTTTTATGAACATAAACTACCTAATAGTTTCCGACAAGTAAACCTTTCGGCACTTGGACGCCATATTGCCAAAATGTTTGACCACGTGATTACGAGATTGACCTTTACGAACCCATGTGCTTCCAATATTTTTATAAATTATTTGTTTTAAAGATATTGATAAAGGTGATTAACTGACTTATATTCAATAAAAGCATATTTAAGTACTAAAAAATTAATGAAAATAAATAAAAACATTGTCTTGAATAAAAATATCGAAATCATGTCAACAAAATGTTCTAAATATAATACACGACTCTATTCGAATCTGTTCCCGCGAATGACGTCATACGAGATCTCGCGTGGCACCTGAATGTCATGGCCGACTGTAGTCGGCGTAAATTGATGTTTTACTGTTAAATAGGCAATTTTAATGACGGTATTAATATTTTGATACTTTAATTGGTATAGAACGATATTAAAATAATTATTTTATCGTAAAATGCACAAGAATTGATTGGGTCAAGTGTATTTGCAAGTGAAACATTAAATGAAAAAAGTCCGCCATTTACAAACAACTACCATATCTATATAAACAAAAGGTCCTTCATTTACAAACAAGTACCATATCTTTATAAACAGACACAGAAATTATACATATCAAAGTATATATTGTTCCAGAAATCGCCGTCCAACTGAAAACGTAGAGGAATGCGTGACATCCCGTACTTAAAAGGATTGAAATTAGCTCATCCGTTGCACAAAGATTATTTTTTAACATCACTCGTCTCATAGGAGCCGATTATTACTGGCAGATTGTGCATGATAAAGTGATCAGAGGAAATGGGCCTACGGCAGTGCAGTCAAAAATAAGTTATCTACTATCAGGACATAGAAAATAGTTCCTCCCATACATCCATTCTGAATCTTATGACAACGCATATCAAGGAAAAGATAGATCTGGAAAAGTTCTGGAAAGTGGAGAGCTTAGGAATAGATAAAACAAAACTGAACAAAGATTATGGAGAATAATTATGCAATTACCAGAATTCGTGTGTCGCCTACAGTAATAACGAGAACAAATTCATCGCTTAGTTGCGATGGAAACAAAATCATCCTCATCTCAACACAAATTAATACATCGCCCACAGAAGAACACATAATGTTATATTCAGACTCCAGAAGGAACCAATATTGTTGCAAGCATACGGAAAATCAGAGAAGACCAGTATAGTAGTACTGACTTTTGAACATAAATATTTGAAAACAAGTCTTATGTATTATACGACGTCGCCCCTCCCAAAAAGCCATACTATATACCCCACCATCCAGTTAAGAAAGATCACCAACAACGCCCTTTAGAGTTGTATTTGACTGCAGGTGCAGAAGTTCAAATAATTCCACAAGCTTATATGCTTGTTTAGAGAGTAAACCTCCAGTATTGAATGACCTGATGTCAGTCTTTATAAGCTTCAAAGCAAATCGTTATGCCGTTACAACGGACATTGAAAGCCTTGATTATTGGACTTGATGCAGACGACCGTCACGTCACAAGATTAGTTTGGTTGTCAGATCCATACAATCCTAGCAATACC